TGTGTTTGTGTGAGTGTGTGTGTGTGTGTGAGTGTGTGTGAGTGTGAGTGTGTGTGTGTGTGAGTGTGTTTGTGAGTGTGTGATACCGAAGAGCCTCATTCATTTGCTCTGTTTGAATCCCCTGATGATCAGCGCTGGAGAATGAAGGTAAATAACCGTATCTCTTCAGATAGACCTGAGAGACGCAGACAGACATGAAAACCAGCTTCTACAGCACGACTCTTTATAATAATAATATCTGAAGATGAGTGTTCTCGAACAGAAACAGCCTTACTGATGAGTTCTCCTTACCGTAGCCTCCTTCAGCGCTGCAGGATCCAGAGTGGCACACGCTGACATCAGCGTCATCAGGACCAGGACTCGCATCTCTGCTGGACTGAGATCTGGAGCTCGAAGGCCACAGGAACACGAGCAGCAGCGGGGATCACGTCTCGCATGAGTTCAGTCAGCTCTAGATCTGTTTGTGACTCGTCTGGGCGTGTGTGTCTGGAGTTTAGTTTGGAGGTTTGGTCCAGATCATTGCGGTCAATGGAGCTATGTGAAGTCATGCTGTGCAGAACAAACAAACAAGTGTGTGTGTGTGAGTGTGTGTGTGTGAGAGTGTGTGTGTGTGTGTGTGTGTGTGTGTATGTGTGTGTGTCCAAGAGCAGCACATCACATCACATGTGCTGAATTGTGAGGCCTAAATGTTCCAGCAGGAAATGACATCACACTGCAGGAGTCAGGTGGACGTGGGCTTTAGCATCTGTAAAAGCCGTTAGTGCCCACGAATGACCTTCCTGTCTGGTGACGTCTGTAGATTTAACGAGGCTTCATGATCAAAATCAGACGTTTATTAGGCTGAAATACTTCATTTTGTCTCCGTAATAATATTAACTAGTTAATTTTAAAATCTTTACACTCAAGTGATCTGAAATATATTCAGAACAGATTTGAGTTCCTAGGGGTTCGTTGTCTGTCAGACAGCACAAACAAGCCGATTCTCATGAGAGTTGGGGTTGAGCGAGAGGAAGTGTGAAGTTTATAATTACCACTATAATTAGCCTCGGAGTAGAAGAGTGATTGAGTGTGAGGATTCATGTGTGCGTCCTTCAGTGTTTTAAAACATTCTGCTGATAACGTGTCTCTTGTTGTGTCTCCAGTGTATTTTAAGTTTATAGTTACATTTATAAGATGTTTTTATCCAGACCAACTTAGAAAAGAGGAACAAATCCATTTGTCTAAGAGCCAACAATCCCTCAATGCCAGGTTTATAATCTAGACAACTAGATTAGGAAGCCTGCTGGAAGAGAAATGCAGACATTGGTTTAAGTGTGCTTTGGTTAGTGGTGTGTCAGTTTCGTGTTCAGAGTCACTGTAAGTCAGTCATTAGTAGTTTGATTTCAGTGGGGTAACTGATTCATCTTCTGACCAGTGACGTGGGTTTGGGGGCGGGTCCATCTGTTTGGCTGAGCAATGGAAGACAGAGTGTTTAGGGAAACCTTTCAGGAAATCATCTGTGAATGATCAGTTCTGTTTGGGGGAGCAGAAACAACACACCGCAGCTTTAAAAACAGTGACCTTGATCTCATTCAGCGCTGTTTTCTTTGTCTGTAATTGATCATGTAATCCTGCAGACACTGACCGCTGCTCATCCCTGCACTAGAACATGCCAATCTGTAATGATAAACACATTAAACAGGATTTGACCCCGGCTGTGACCTTTGGTGTCATGTCTGGAGGCTCAAACACTCTCAGAAATGAACTTTTCCTTTAAGCGACGATTCATTGATCTTAAATCGATCTCCAGGGGCATTTTTACCTTCATAAGGGCAATGTTTTCTGACCTTATTAGATATAGTGGTGTGAAAAAGTGTTGGCCTCCTTCCTGATTTCTTTTTTTTTTTATTTTTCACACCACTATATGCATCATCTTTTATCTCACATTCTAACATTTAATCAATAAGTTCAGCTGGAATAAGACGAGGCTACAGGCTGTTACCAGTCAAATGAAGCCAGTGTCAGTAAAATCCCTTTTTGCTCTGCAGAAGAAGCACAGAAGCTGCATTTACACGGCAATTACAATTGCATAAATAATGCTGAGATTAATGCTCCTAAAATAATATTTAAATTACCAAAATAAATGTTTTTCTAAATGACACCTTAAATATGAAACTAAAACTGCAAGTCATTGAGTCATTCATTCGGATCTGAAACAGTTGATTTATTCAGGAACAAGGCATGTGTTTATGAATGGATCACTGAATCATTGATTTGTTTAAAAAAGCGAATTCACTTAGTGACGAAACACCAGTCTGCCGCACAATTTGATTTCGCTTGGAACAATGTTTGTTGGTGAAATAGAGCAAAAACAGACAATATTGACAGCATCACATTTGTGCTGATATTTGAAACAGCATGTTTGCTCATGTGATGTTGATCATATCATATAGAAATATAAGACACAAACTCACACAGGAGCATTTTTGAATTTCAGGTCATTCTAGCTGCATTCTACTGGTCTTCATCACACAGAGTGTGCACGACCAAGGCCTGTTTTTCACGACATGACGGATCATTTCAGCTTCCACATCATTAAAACATCAGTTACTCTCTAGTTACTATATTATGGTAGATGATATGAATCACAGCCCTACTAGTAAAACACCAGTTCAGCTGTTGTCTACACTGTGGATCAGACAGGGACATGAAACAGGAAGACTGTTATGCTATGTTTAATATAACACAATTCTACACATTATTATTTCATGCCATTATGCACTACGGTGGTAAAAAATGATGACAGCATGGATCTGTAGTCCATCAGTCTCTAATCTATGGCAGAGAGTCGCACGGCCCTCCGTCTGGATGACATGATTACAAAGAGTGGGAATCATCTGCGCTCGTGCGGGTTCTGGACGACCCGCATCAAGAGTCCAGAGCGCAAGATGCTGCCACACGTGTCTTCATGATGTATAAAACACAAGAATGAAGTGGTTACAGCTTTGACATACAAACACACACACACCCTGACACGACTGTCAATGGACACGGACACGTCTGATCGACAGCTGGCCTCACAAATAGCCTTCCAGCAGCTTTAGCTCGTCCCGTAAGGCCTGGCCCCGGCCCAGTTTGTCCAGCTGCTCCCTGCTGGGGGTCTTCAGCTCTCCCGAATCCACCTTCTGCTGGAGCTCCTCCACCTGCCGCAGCTTCTTCCGCAGGTTCTTTATCTTCTTGGCATTCTCTGCGGCCGTGGGATCCGCAGCTTCGTGCTCGGCCGTCACCCTCTTCTCCTCCTCCGTGACTTTCATCCGGTCCAGCTCTTTACTCAGGGCCTTCACGTCCTCGGCGGCCTCCTGCGGGGTCTGGCTCTGCTGCTTGCGCTTCTCTTTGCGCTTCATGTTGCGCTTGGCGGTTTTGGAGAGTCCGGCGGCGTCGCTCTGTTTCTGGGCTCCGCTCACAGCCTGAGTCGCGTCCTCGGGGTTCATGCCGGGCGGCAACTCGGGTTTGCTCTTGAAGAACTTCACGTACTTGTTCTCATAGCTGCAGACAGGAGAGAAAGGCGTTAGCCGACAGACAGCGCAGATTCGCACACATGTAGAGTGAAACACAAGCGTCTCATCATGCTGTTCTTCAGTGAACGGTGGGCCGAGCTTACACCGGGACCTCCTCCTGCGGAACGTATCCGTCCTTCACGCGCCGCGGTCTCCTCCACGTGCCGTCTGGACGCTGCGTGGCGGCGATATATTTACCTGAAACGCACACGCATGCTTTACTGACAGAGCAGCTGAGACTGAACACATTATCTGGATATGGCACTAGAAGTCTCTTTGATTTTTGTGAATGTTATGACACACTGAAACTTTTACTTTATTATTGTTTTTATTTTTTGCATACTGAAATTACCTTCCCTTAAGGTTATTATTATTATTATTATTGCTGTTACCCACTCCACTACACTCAATACTAATCATCGCAATCATGTTTTGATGTTATTATCTGCATTATTATTATTAGGCTTTGCGCATCAAGTCAAGTCAGCTTTATTTCTGCAGCGCTTATACAACACAGATTGTGGTCAAAGCAGCTTCACAGAGTCAAACAGGGAAAACGTGTGCTGATGACGCAAGAGCACAATAACAAACAGCTGAAGTCAGTTCTTTGATGATTCAGTGATGTCATCATCCAGTTCAGTTCAGTTCAGACAGTGTCTGTGGAATCAAGGCAACAATGTTGCCAGAAATTGCTCTTTTTTGACGCAAAACTAAATTGCATCACCGCTGCAGCGTTTGTATCTTAGCAGCATAAAACGAGCTCGAGTAAATGAAACACAAATATACAGAAGGAAAACCCCAAGAAGATTCGGATGCTTCATGTGTGTCGCGATCAGCTCGAGTCTCGCCGTTTCTTCAGCCTCGCGCGCACGACGCCACGCATGATCACTAACATACACGGCGATTATAACCCTATCTACGCAGAAATGTGTGTTTGTGTGTGAAATGTTTTACCGGATTCATCTGTCACATAGGGGGTTGCCATCTTTAACAAAGGCTAACTTCCGTTTCCGCTCTGTGTCGCTATCGCGAGACTGCGGGTTTGTTTGTCTCTGGGAAATGTGCGCCGTGATGTTGCCTAGTTACACTGCATCAGTATAATGTAACAAAATAACATCGGTAACACTTTACAATAAGGTTCATTTGTTAACAGTAGTTAACTGCATGAACAATTACGTCTACAACATTTATTGATCTTAGTTAATGTTAATTTCAACATTTACTAATACATTATTAAAATCAAAAGTTGTGCTTGTTAACATTAGTTAATGCACTGTGAACTAACATGAACAAACAATGAATAACTATCTTCATTAACTAACATTAACAAAGATTAATAAATACTTTAACAAATGTATTGTTCATTGTTCGTTCATGTTAGTTAATACATTACCTAATGTTAACAAATGTCACCTTATTTTATAGTGTTACCATAATATCTATAAATATTAGTACTTTATAATGATATTATATTATATTTACACACACAAAAAACTAAACTTTTGTTTAAATCATCTGTAAATTGAAAACAGGAGCCAAACCATTTCATGTTATGGATGTGGAGCTTCTCAGATGTATTAATAATTCTACATATATACATGTTTTTTCTTCATTTCTCTCCCATGGCCATTTAAATATATACTTATATGAGTTCTACACAATTGTCAAACTTTATTTTCTAGATCAGTACAAAACACCTATCAGCTGTTCTTCAAGCTTCACACATCATGTCATTAAAAGTATTTTCATTACACCCATCCTTGTAAATTCCTAACCGCTATTTTATATATATATATAGGAATTATGGATATGATATGAACAAAGTATTTTCAATGTTTTAATTGCTGATACACTGTGAGAGTTGTGTAGAGCGCCCTCTAGCGTTCACATTGGGGTTTGATGCTGCCTTTGGATTGGATCATATGGTTTGGTTTAAACACTTGTGAATGATTACCAAGGGGCAACATGTATATCGAAAATAGCAGAGGACCTAGGACAGATCCTTGTGGCACTCCATATTTTACTGGTGATAGTGGTGTGTGTGTGTGGTTATGGAGTGTATTGGTTCAGTGTATTGGTTATGGAGAAACTATATAATCCAAGGTATAAATGTTAAAAACATTTAATTTGACTACCTAAAAAAGTCAAAGCTGTTTTTTTAGAAGTGACGTGTGGCCAGGTGTGGTGTCCCATTCTCAGAATTTGTGCTCTGCATTTCACCCATCCAAGTGAGCGCACACACACACACACACACACACACTCTCTCTCTCTCTCTCTCTCACACACACACACACATACACGGAGCAGCTGGGGGTTTGACCTGACCCAATCGCAATTCTTTATATGCAAATATTTTATATTCTCTCTGTACATATTGTATGGTTAACTGTTCATTTTCTATGTATCTACATCTCTTCCAGCTAAATATTTTAAAGGTCTAGTCATTATCTTAATCACTTGGTGCCCCAGGGCACTCGCCCAATCCCGGTTTTGGATAATCCGGCCCTGCATACAAGAAACATGAATTGGGACCAAAAAATAAATAAATAAAAATAACACAATAAAACACCATAGAGTGTTGTTGTTAATATATTCCAAATCTTCTGAAGTGATATGATGCTTTGTTTGAGGAACAGTCCCAAAATGAAACCATTGTGTAGATGGGAAATGGCCATTTGGTGCATGCAGTGTTAATGTGTGCTTGATGACAAAACCTGTTGTCTGTGAGACGTTTTGGATGAAAATAATTAGAGAATAGTGCTGCAATATTTATTTATGAAATACAGATGCATAACTTGTACTCAGGGCACAAGACCTAACTAAGACCTCACTGGGCCCCGGGGCTATGAATTACTGCAGGGCCCGCATCACAATAATGATATATATAGCTTAAAATAGGATTTGTATCCAATCAAAATTTTTGATGTATTGCAATTTCATAATTCTTGTTACCAATTCTGATATCACAAAATTAAAAAAAATACTAGCCTGCGTAAAAACAAACGTACTGAAGACAAGTGAACAGTCATGAATTACAATAGAACAAATAAATTAACCTACAAACACTTAAAGCACTGAATAAGAAATATTATATTGTATAAAATGAATAGACAACAAATAGACTGAATGGTCTTCACTGTATAAATTCAATATACATTATTTTACAAAAGCGATTCGGTCAAGCAGTGATTTTCTTTCTAATGTTTAATTTACATTATTGACACAAACAGCAACAGCAGCTATATTAGGCTGCTTTGGAGGAATAGTTCACCCAAAAATTAAAGTTATGTTGTTGTTCTAAACCTGAATGAGTTTCATTCTGCTGTTGAATGCAAACGTATATATTTGGAACAATACTGGTAACCAAACAGTGTCTGTGCCCCATGACTTCCACAGTATGGAGAAACAACACTACTGGAGTCAACAGCGACCAGAAACTTTCTAGTGGTTACGAATATTCTTCAAAATATCTTATTTTATGTTGAGAACAAAGAAATTCGTACAGGTTCAGAACAACTTGAAACTGAGTAAATTGTGATAGTATTTTAATTTCTGGGTGAATATCCCTTTAAAATCTCATCATATAATGCCAGGATCTCATAATAGCCAGCTAGTGCACATGCTTTATCTTTAGCTATTAACGTTTATTTAAGACACAAATGACTGTGTTGACGAGGAGACAGGCATTTTCACACATAACTAACTATGTGTGTTCGAATGTTTAAACACAATGCGCGAAAAATAACTCTTAGTTTAGTCAGGCGCTGTACGAGCAAATGAATTCTGCCACTGCTTAATGTCCCTGAACAGTTAAATTAGTTTTAAACCACAATGCTTAAGTTTAAATGAAAAGCTTACATCATGACGCGCAAAATTAATTTCTCAACCCATCAGCGAATATACAAGGCCTATAGAGTTTGTTCAAACACAAAAAGCACTATACATCTATCAAGTTAATAATCAAACTAACCTAAATCTGTGAGGATAATGTGTTTTTATCTGCTCATGTGTCCGGTCCATCTGCGGTTCACATCTCCCTCTCCATCATCAGCTTTAGTCAAATAAACTAGCTGTGTGTGTTTTAGTGACTCACTCATGTTTTCCACTCTCTCCTCATTTTTTTCTCTCACTATTTTAATTTTTTTGGTATTGGTATTTTTACTAATCAAAGATTGCTCTTTGCATGACCGTTTCTAGATTACAGCAGAATGAAGTGAAGAGAGCTGAATGCAGACATTAGGCGCAGCGATCACCTGATAGATAGGGTGCGTTTGTTCAAAAGTAAAATATATAATAAATGGATTTGATTGGTAAACCAAATTCAAATGTGACGTTTTAATCTCTAATGGTAATGCATGGAATTTACGGAAAACTCCACAAAATAATAGCGCTAATGTGAGGGTCATGGTGTGTACCGATGTCCGTCAAGCTACTCCTCAGCCAATCACGGGCCCCCTCCTTGCTCGGGCCCCGGGGCTTCAGCCCCCTCTAGCCCAGAGGTTAATGCGGCCCTGGCTGTACTATCACTGCTGCATCATCAATAATGAAAACCCACACAAAAATCATATTCTGTTTTTCAGGACAAAAGACTGTTCTGTTCACTTGCTCTCATCACCCGTCAGCTTTCCCGCGTTCACATCACTTCCGGTTCAGGCCTGAGGATGCTGAGCAGCAGAGGAACTAACCTGGTCAGGTTTACCCTAACCTCGACTCAACAGAGCTGTTCATTCATGACATCAGATTTAGGATGGGTTCGAGACTAGCTGTTTGCAGTAAGACTGTGGTTAACAATACTTCATAAGACTTTCAAGTGTTGCTCTACAACATGAATTGAATTCTGAACAGTTTTTGGAATCGTTCTGCACGAGGCCCTTCAGCTCATAAAAGTTCCTTCTGCACGCGCGTTTCCCATTTGTTACATATTTGAACTTTTAATGAACTGTGTTCTCTGTGGCTCAGCCGCCGCGCGTGCGGATATAAAGCAGGGCGGAAGTGAGGGGCGCGCGCTGGTCGAGCGGAAGTGACGCGTGGGCCGGCTGAAAGAAAAGACAGACGTTCGCGCACAAGCGATCGCGCAATAGTCAAATAAAAGAGCGAACGCTGCGCCGCGGATTCCTGCTGGTCTTCAGGTAAGACGCTCCGCTCCGTGGCTCTCGTGATTCCCCGTGAACGCGGCTGCGCGCGTGATGCTAACGCGAACAAAAACACTCGGCGGCGCGTTTGCAGCGGCGAGAGTCGTGTGTTAAATCTCGTGCTTTGTACGGTTGTTTTCATCCGTGCGTCGTTTTGTGTGCGTTGCTCTCGGTTAGCATACATTAGCTCCGCGGCTAGCGGAGGCGTTGCTAAGATACTGCCACATAGCAGCGCGCCGCAGTGTGATTGATATCATAAACGCTTGCCTCGTTTCACGCGCGTTATTATTAACTCGTTCGGGAGCGAATCACGGATCTCTGAGCGTCGCGGCATAAACGCACCCAGATTCAGGACTACATCGCCATCACTCGCAGCAGTCAAACGCGTCTCGAAGCGCGCTGGATGAGTGTTTTGACGCGTGTCAGTCATTAGCGCGCGTCACGTGCGCAGTGCCACATCAGCGCGGTTCCTGCCGGGATTCGGTTCGCTTCCTGTCCCGGTGGCCCACTTCCAGACGGGAACACAGCGGCGCTTTGTCCGGCTCCAGTTCAGCCTCTTTTCTTCTCACCTTTTCATCGCGCAGCTCGTGTTACGCGTCTTATCGCCGCATGATCCGCGGAACCGGCTGAGCAGGAACTCTGAGCGGATGGATCCGGTTCCGAGGCGCGGAGCGGCGATTCACCGCTGGAATATTCCGGTTGCATAACAGATGCGAGCGCCGCGCGCCTCCTCTTGGGTAAACAGCTGCTCGGTGTTCCGGTCAGGTTAAATATAGCCCGTGAATGCGGCTTTACCTGTTTGACGGCGCACAGGTGCGCGATGTGCCGACGCCCGCGTGACGTTCCGGTGCGTTCCGCCGGCGGGGAACGGGTGTGTGTGTGTGTGTGTGTGTGCGTGCGTGCGTCAGTCCGAGCGCGTACGTGTTTGTATGGTTTAAGTTTCTTTTTCCTGAGAGCGAGTCTGTGGTTATTGGGCTCATAAAGAGGCGGAACGCGCGCGGCTCTCGGGAACAACGGATCCGGCTCCACTGAGGTGCTCGCTGTGATTCAGGCAGATGTGTTTTCTGTGACGGGCTTTACAAGAGCAAACGGAATGAAAGCGCACTTCAGTTTCTTACGGATTCATCAGGTCGTTTCAGTTCGGCCGTGTTCGGTTGTGTTCGGTTCTCTCCGGCGTATGTTTTGCAGCAGGGAGAGAGAGAGAGAGGATCGAGGCCAAGTGTAGATGTGGAGGTCAGTCCTCGCGTGACAGACAGCAGCGCAGAAAGAGACGCAGATCACTGCTGGCCTGCAGGAGTAATAATTAATTATTACACTCAGTCATTAATGATGCTGGAGTGAGAGTTAAAGTGGTGCTGCTGGGCTCTTAATCTCTGAGAATGGGCAACAGCTTTGCATCTGGATACTTTAGCTCGGGCGAGGGCCCTGTGTCTCCTCTGGTTACCCGTTGGTGGCAAGATTTCTCAGCTGCTCCGAGCATCATCGCCTTTAGTGTATAATGTTGTAAATTAGGCTTGGTTGGATTAACCAAACAAATGCAAGGTATTATAAAGTTTGCACTGCAAAGGCGGCACAGAAGCGCTTCTGAAGTGGCATTTAGGCATCTTTACACAGACTCAGAGGTGGCTTATGTATTCACGGTAATTCCCGCTGTATGCTCGACGCTAGGGCTGAGCTGGGTCTGAGCAGGCATAATGTCATCTGGCTTTAATGCAGCATTGTGTATTTACACTGAATTTTGTGCAGCCTTAACTTGGTTGTGTAAAGATGCAATTAGTGATTAAAATCGTTCTTCCTTTAGCTGCCATAACAACTAGAATGTAACTTGAAATAAAATGTTGGGTAATATTTTTTAAAAATCTTAAATGTGTATATGTATGCGAATGTATATATATTTTTAATTTCTAAAGGAAAGGCTGGTTCTTCAGTGACATTTCACACAGTTTCTCTTCTTGTGTGATAGAGATAAACCATCTTTAGTAACCATCGCTTCACTTCTGGGCTCTTTAATGAGCGACTAACGCAAATACTGACTAAATGTCCGTCGGCGTTACCGTCTCACCACCGTATGTTTCCATGAGCTTCAGTGATATTCAGTCAGCATCATTTTACATAAGTGCCTTTCTCTCCATCTCAGTGTTCATGTTTTGAGATTTGAAGTGTTTTAAGTAATTACAGTCTTGATTACAATGGCAGGTGTTAAACTCCAGATATTTTCTGTTCCTGCAGAATTGCGACTGACTGAGGAGGAGGATGGCGAGGAAGAGCGGTTATAAAGGTGAGCGATCTCCAAATACGATTCGGTTCATATGGCATCAGTAATACTGAGTATCAGTTAGGGATGCACCGATACCACTTTTTCCAGTACTCGCCCGATACCGATACCAGTATCGGTATCGGTGCATCCCTAGTATCAGTAATATTATCTCAATACTTATTCTGATGACGTAAACGTAGGGAATGTCTCGTATGTTGCGATAATGCTAAAAGTTTAGACATCATGCCAGTTTCACTGCTCTTTAGTGTCTGGAGGGCAGCTGCTTGTGTTTGTGTGAACAGATAATCTGTCGTATCGGTGAAATGGCACGAGTGATTATAAAGGCAGCGCTCTTTGCTCACTGTTTATAACCCACTCACAGTTTGAATAAGTTATATTTTTCATTGCACTAGATACACACTGCTACGTTTGGCAGCCGTATTAAATTCAGGATTTAAGAACCGGACAGAAAAATCAGATTCAGAACATCATGGTAGATCTGGGCGTTTCTGTTCTTCACGTTTCTTTGTTTTACAGTGAACTTTGTTGTTGGAACAACTTGAACTGCTTTTGCACTTTTTCTGTAATTTAATTCATTTGTTTTTAAATATTTTATGTTTAAATAAGTACTTTACAAAGTTCTGTCTGAGTCATGAGTTGTTCCTGAGCAAATGCTTTCATGGCAGTGACCGAGTAATTTAAGTAGTTTTGTTACATTTGAGACTTTGATTCTGTCGTTAGAAACCTGAGAACACGAAAGCGGCGTTAGCATCGTTTGTGTTCGTAGTTTGAGGTCTGTTTCTGAAGCAGAAGTGCTCTGCTGTTCAGTGCGACTCTTCATCTGAACGCTCCAGGACTGCTGATCTTTGGGCTTTTAGTCTTTGGTAGAAGCACAAATCATGTCAAAGACCAGACTACTTTTGATGAAACGTTTCTTTAACGCTTCTGGTGCAGTTGAGTCGCTCTGTCCGCAGTCTCTGGTTTAGTTTGGCAAATGAAATCTTTGCGTTTTCATGACTTTGCAAATCGCTGAGCTCTGATCGAGGAGCTGGAAGCAGCAGAACACTCTGTAAACTGAGCATCTTCAGCAGGCTTTGACCCGATTAAACCGCTCCTCGCTGCGTCGCGTGTCTTTATGGCTGATATTTCTGACATCTCGTCAGTTTCACCGCTCGAGAGCTTGAGAAATGTTGCTCGAGGGAGATCCACGCACAGACGCTTTCCCGCGACGGAGAACTATTGTGAGTTAACCTGGAGTAATGGAAACTAGTACGGCTGCACAATTAATTTAATTTCTAATCATGATTACAATTACAGATGCCACAATTATGTAAAGGCACAAGAGTCCACTTAAATTATTCTGCACTTAAGATGTTTTTTTCCTTTCTACAGGTTAAGTTTTTTTTCTCCATTGTTTTAGTTTTAGTATAACATAACACCATGCATATTTTACTTTTTTTATTTAAAGAAGAAACCAAATCAATGTATAGTTGATATTTGAGGCATAGTTCTATAGAAAAGCAATACGTTTTTCAGGAAGAGTGTTTTCAGCTTGTTTATTTTCATATTAAATATGGCATGCAGTTGCTTCAAACAATGATATAAAGCTATTCAAGACATCATTCAATGTTAATTGTGATAATCGTAATTATTAATCACAATTACAATGGAATAATTGACATCTATGGTTTTTGTCATTATGGTGCAGCCGTGGAAAGTAGATAGCGTAGTTTGGATAAATCCAGTCTAAGTGACGTACAGTACACAGATTCCTGTGAGAATTAACATGAAAATCTGCTCTGCTAACATCTGCTGATAGTAAACCTGCGGTCGGTTATCTGGTTATCTTGCAGATCGGCTGGGGCTTCAGTCAGAATCTGTTCTTTATCAGACGCCTCACCTGTACCATGTGACCGGAAGTTCAGACGGGATGTTCATGTGTAGTTTGAGGGCTCATGGGTAACGATCATCCTTTAGTCACTGATCTGGGAACTGCTGTCAGATCACGTCCTTTCTGCTGTGAGATGATGTGACGTCGTGAAGAGAGATTGGGCAGGAATGTTCTGGTAGATTCGTTCTGAATGAAGAGAGATGATGGCCCTTACCAAGCAATCTCTCAGTATAACACCTGCACAAGCCGTCTAATATTCACGGATTGATTGTGTATTTTATTTTTCTGGTTTCGTAAAGCACAGACAGAAATGCACTTTTAAGCGCTGCTGGATGAGGGACAGAAGTCACATTTGTCTGAGAGTTTAGTGTTTGATTACATTCTGTCCAGCGCTGCTCTTGAAGCATGATATCGCCTCACTGAAGCATGAATTATGGGAAACCGTAAGCATTTGCCACTTCAGACAGACTGCAATTCAGATCGATGTGCTGGTTTGCTCTAAAAATATATACTATGAGGGTCATTATGGTAATTCTGACTCCCTGTACAGTTAGAGATGGAAAGGACAAACATACTGGAAATTAGGAGTGGGGGGGGAATCGATACAGCATAGTAGCGCGATATTTTCCGCGGCAATACTGTATCGATACACTATCGATACACGGACGCCAAGTGTCAATCTTTTATTATACTATTTGGTAGAATAATAAAATCATTTTCTTTAAAAGCCACTAGATGGTGGTGTTGAGTTTTTTTTTTTTTCTGGTGAGGTCAGCTGGGTCACCTTCAGCATGCAGTAAGTTAGTAAAATAAAGAGGGCGGCATCGTGGAAAGCTATCAGGAAAGCCCCGTCCTTGTTTAAATCGGATGTATGGACTTACTTCGGATTTGTAAACAAGGAGGGGATGTAAGTAAGGATGCACCGAAAATATAGGCTACATATTATTATTATTATTATTATTATTATTATAATAATATATGTTGCGTCACGCCCCGCCCGGCAGTGTTCAGCGCCCACGTTTCACTCCTCGTCACTGCGCGGTTTGACGCTCCGCTCAGTATTCCGAGCTATGAGTGTGTGTTCCGCTCGTGTACCGCTCATGCTCACCGGAAAAGCAAAGTCAGCTCAAATAACGCGCTGACAGGAAATTAATGTTAGTTAATGTATTAACTATCATGAACGAACAATGAACAGTACATTTATTACAGTATTCATCTTTTTTTAATGTTAGTTTTTTTTTTTAATTCAGTATCATTAAAATTTAGTTGCATTTAAAAAGTCTTACAAAATTACTTTATATTATATAATAAATAATCATTACAAAGAATAGAAAGCTAGTGTTTTTGTTTTTTGTTGTTTTGTTTTTTTTTAAATAAAAAAATAAAAAAAGATAAATATAAAGTAGAATTAAAATAGAATAGAGAGTGCTAGAGTTAGAGGGTCAAATAAAGGTGGAACAGATGTGTTTTTAGTCGTTTCTTGAAGATGGTTAAGGACTCAGCTGCTCGGATTGATTTGGGCAGGTCATTCCACCAGGAGGGAACAGTTAATGTAGAAGTCTGTGAAAGTGATTTTGAGCCTCTTTGGGATGAACAATAAAGCGATGTTCACTTGCAGAATGCAAGCTTCTAGAGGCACATAACTCTGAAAAAATGAATTTAGGTAAATGGGTGCAGAAGCCAGTGGTGGTTTTGTAGGCAAACATTAATGCCTTGAATTTAATGCGAATAAATTGCAATATATCGCAGAATATCGCAATATATTTAAAACCGCAATAATATTGTATTGTGACACAAGTATCGTGATAATATCGTATCATGAGGCCTCTGGTGATTCCCACCCCTACTGGAAATGAATGTAAAAATAAACTAAACAACAAATAAAGATATGAAGATAAATCAGACGTAACGTCAGGCGGTGTGGAGCGATAAGAGAACGTTTGAGTGCTTCATTTGTCTCAGTGCGGTTCTGATTTCTGCAAACATATAATAGAGAGTTTGACCTTCAGTAACGATCACGTCTGTTGCTTAATTAGTGGTCTGCATTACTACAAACTGGGAAACAAACCATACAGTGGATGCGTACTGTAATACTGCTCTAAACGGAGTCATGTTTTTATTTTGTGCCTGAAAGTTAAGCTATTAGACCGCTTTAAAGTGGAATTGTGATTATATTTGCCTCTGTTCTAGTTTTACTGCTAGTGGAATTGAGGAGAGCTGTTTCTAAAGACTTCATTTAGTGTGCTAGTTTTTCTGAATGTAATAACCGATCCTGAAATGAGGTCTGTGCGATCGTTCCCCGTTCTGCTGCTGTCTCTCTCTGGCTCTTCTCTTGACCTACATATTTTTGGAGAAAAGCTTTAACCGAGATCCTCTGCCAAGACTTTCTGCGCTGTTGAAGTCAAGCTGCGTTTCAGAACTGAACACGTGGAAATCTCTCAGTCTCTCCTCCCTCCTCTTTCTCCAGATGTGTCAGGAGTGGTGTTCGACACGCACTCGAAAATGGTCATGTCTCAAGGAGGATCGTTCGAGAAGATGAAGGAAAAGGTACACATGGCTTTTCTTCCGTTGTCTGGCTGTTAATGATGGTGCTGTGCTCTTTATGTCAGTGTTTTTACTCTTTCCTGTGAATCTCGGGCTCGACTCACTCAATGTTTCTGCTCTCGTCAGATAAACGCCGTGCGAGCCGTGGTTCCCAACAAGAGCAATAATGAGATCGCTCTGGTGCTGCAGCACTTCGAGAACAGCGTGGATCGAGCGGTGCAGGCGTTTGTGGAAGGTACAAACACACACAGACACTTTTAAAAAGGTTTTTAACCGCGTAAATCCAAATTTTTAGGTTTTTAGTTAAATGAAACTGAAACATCTTATTTAGTTTTACTTTTAATGAACTAAACCATGAATATAGCCATAGAAGCTGGCAAAGAAAAGGGAAAGAAACAAACACACACCCAGTGCCCTCAAGCAGGTCTCATAGGAGGCAGTGTGTGTGTCCCGTGTGTGACGCGACTGTAACCTCGGGGTGTGTGTGTGTGTGTCAGGCGGGGCCGTGGAGATCCTGAAGGAGTGGAATGTCACTGGGAAAAAGAAGGTGAGGGAACAAGCTTCACCAAACATGCAGTTTAAATGTGTGTCTGTGACCCGAGTTGAGTAATGAATGTTTTAAAGGTTTAACTGTTGCTTGCGTTCGCTCTGTCGCTCACAGCCCAAGAAGAAAAAGAAGCCGAAAGCACAAACAGACGTTCCCGCAGACTCGACTCCTGCTGAATCGACTCCGGACGCTGAGTGTCAGGAAGCTGTTAATGGTTTCCATGCCAACGGTTCAGCAGCGGCTGATGGTGATTCGCTGGATTCTCTGAGCGAGCAGCTGGACTCCGCCTCCCTGGACGCTGCGGAGCTCGACTTGGAAACTGCTGCCCCTGAGGTTTCAGCGGCCACAGGTGTGTTTGAGGAGAGCAGGTGATGCCCTTCAGGTGTTTGAGCGGTGATTAGGGGGTTTAACTCCGCCCTTCTTTCCTCTGCTGCAGATGGAGGCGTGGCGTCCACATCAAACCCCGCCCCTCAGCCCAGCACCAATAACGGAGAGCGACAGAACCATCACAGAACCAGTAACAAGTCTCAAGCCAAGCCTGTTTCCAGCTCCCATAATCCCTCTGCGCCCGTTCTGTCCAGCGACACACAGCGAGGTCCTGCCGGCAGAAAGATGGGTAAGAGTTTCTGTATCGTCATGAGACTGATCGGTCTGCGTTCGTCTCCCTGTCTGCTTCACACACGAACGAAGACTAAATGACCGTCTGTGTGGCACGGAGTAGAGGTCTTCCAGCCGTTTCATTGGCTGCTTAAATAAAAGGAAAGTTAAACTTATGTGACCGTGGGTTAGGGTTAGCGTGATCGGCCTGTTATTCATGTTACAATAAACAAAAATACTATTTTAATGTTTGATTCTTTGAGGAAAGTCATGATTGCAAATTTACTTTGTACTTGAAATTGTATTTTTTTTCTATTGTAAATGAAAACGTTTTTCGGTTTATCAGAACTCAAGTAAAATACAGATACCCCAAAATAATGCTCAAGAAAAATAGTGAAGTACTGTTATTAAAATATTTTACATTGAATTTCACGTCAGCAATCGCACGGACCACAGGAGAGCCGACAGAAACATCAGTACAGAGAGTCTGAGCTTCCTGAGATCGGTTCTTGTTTTAATCAAACTCACTTCATTTTGATCAATTTCTCAGAAAACAAGATCATGTATAACTGTGTCTTGATTTAAGAATCTTTAGACATTTGCACTGCAAACAGGACAAAAATACTGAGGAAGAACAGCACTTTTTGCAGTGTACAGGAGAAGTTATCATTTGTATTGTCAGACTTTGAAGTGTTGCAAAGACAAGACATTTACATTTAGAGACCTTATTGACTAATTGATTTTCATTCAATTTATTCCTTAAATTGTCTTCACTTGGTCTTAAATGGTCTTGAATCTACCTTCATAAAACCTGCAGAGACGCTGGAGTGTTAAATTTAAAGTGAAAAACCTGCTGTGAGAGAGACTGTTGTGTAGCTGGAGTCAAGTTAATGTAAAGCATTCATTTCATAATCTTTATAATTGTTCAGATGAGTGACTTTACGTTTGCATGACTGAAAGCTGTTTGACCTCGTCTACTGTTTATTTTAACGCTGCCGCTTGTTTTTACAAGGGATTGAAGCTTAAATTTATAAGCTATATTAAGATTAAAGGATTACTTCTCACTGTCATTGTGTGCCTTTTAATCTGTACTGTAAAAGTGAATGGAAAATGAGAGCAACGTTATCCTTTTTTGTTCCAGGGAAAGTCATGCGTTTCACATAAATGCTCCTTAAGTACTGCGGTGAATTAGGATTGACAGAAAAAGACACATATTTTACATCACATTACAGTACATCGCATTGTCGTCATCATCATGAGGCTTTTGAACACTGGTGAAGGAGGAACACTGCTTTCAAGAGATGTACATTAGTGAAAAGTGTGTCCAAACCTCTGACTGGTCCCAGATGTTTAATTCTGTGCGGGAGCCGATGGCTGGAGGTTTTGGGGCTCATGCGCTGTTAAAAGTGCTTGTGTGTTTACGAGACGCTTTGTGGAGATCTAGTGTTTGTTTTCTCAGGGCCTAACGTCGATCGCTCCGTGAAGGACCTGCAGCGATGTGCAGCGTCACTGTCCCGCTATAGAGTCGTGGTGAGAGACGAGATGGACTCCTCTATCAAGAGCATGAAGCAGACGTTTGCTGAGCTGCAGAGCTGGTAACACTCACTCACACACACACACACACTCACTCACTCACTCAC